GTCCCAAAGATTTTGTTACTTGCCATTCCTTATTTGACGGGTATACTCGTCATTGCCTGCTAGTGAGTCAGTAAATTTCAATGTCTGCTTCAGGGTACAGACGGCTTCGAGAAGCACATGGACAGGCTGATGGAACTGACTGAGTACATGGTGAAGCGCATTAAGTCAATGCCAGACAAGTTCTACCTCATTCTTGAGCCCGAACTGGTCAACGTAAGCTTCTGGTACGTGCCCACGCGCTTGCGCTCCATGCCACATGGGCCAGAACGGGAAAAGTTACTTGGACAGGTCAGTAAACGTGACTATTTCAATTTTATCAGAGAATCATCTGCCTCTATTGGACATCTGTGAATAGAGACACTTTTATGTACATCTTCACTTTAATTCTCCCTAGTTTCGTAACAGTCGTTAACACAATTGTGTTCGACACAACGTCCTTGATCTGTTTCACACGACGTTTCGAGAATTTCCAGCTGTCGGTAGCATTGTTTATGAAATACACCTCCGGAAACCGATAATGCCCAACCCAACTGTGACAGAACATCCGCAGTACACGCCTTCCTCTGTAGGCAGGAGACCGTGTCTCGATCGGTCATGTTTACAGCATCACTTCATCGAGCTCTGCGAATTGGTTCACTTATTTATCTGCAGTACAATTACCGACGTGCCGATCAAAGTGGCCGCGCGGTCTAAAGCATGAACTGTCTTCGCTTACTCAAATACTGGGATCGCAAGTTCGAATTCCACTCAGGGCATGAATGTTTGTGTGCGTTTATTTTGTGCTTGTGTTGTTCTGTGTGTAGTAGCGGCCTTGCGACGCACTGATCCCCCGTCCAAGGAGTCCTACCGACTGTATACGAATTATAAAAACTGAGAAACGCGGCCAAGCACCACGAGGGCTGTAGATAGATAGACAGATAAACACATGGATAGATAGATAGATAGATAGATAGATAGATAGATAGATAGACACATGGATGGATGGAGAGAGAGATACATTGACAGTCAGACACACAGATAGATATACAGACAGACAGACAGATATCGACGTTTCCAGTAGTTCGGACTATGCAGTGTCGAATGGTAGGATGAACAGGGAAGAATGAACTTGATAGCTAAGTCAGCACAGTTACTTGGCTAATATCCGGACGATCGAGGAGTCAGGGTTCAATTATTGGCACGAACAAGAGATATCTTCTCCACAGCGTCCGCATCGACTCCGAGGCCCACGCAGTCTCCTATCCAGTAGGTACTGGGGGTTCTGTCCCCAGGAGTAAAGCGGCACAGACTGAAGCTGACCACTCACCCCCATTCCCTGCCCCACACGCTTTCATTGCGTGTAGCTCAATTAAGCACAAGTATGACATTACTTTGTGGGGCACGAGGTAGCCTAGTTGGTTGAATCACTATGCTACAAGCCTGAAGGTCGCGGGTTCGATTCTCGATAAGGTCATTGGACATTTTTCAATTTACCAGATCCTTCCAGCTGCACTATGTCCCTGGGGTCGACTCAGCCTCTAACAGAAATGAGTACCAGGAATCTTCCTGGGGATAATGGACGGCCGGCGTGTAAGGCTGACAATTTTACCGCCATCTGTGAGCCGATTGTCTAGAGAAAATGTGGGAGCCCTGACGTCTCACAACCCTGTGGGCCTTCACGGCATGCTACAAGGATTGCTTTACCTTTTTATAACATTATTTTAACATATGGAAAGACGCATTAGTGGTTCAATTTGCGTTACAATTCTGGCATTTGTCTGAAGGGACTGAGGACTACCACGAAATATATGTCAGGATAGACAGTTCCCGGGTCGAAATTCTTATTCAGAACCTTTCGAATACGAAGCAGAAATTCTGCGCAACTCGACTGTGCCATTTGTTATGTTGGTCTCAACGACTATCGATTCAATGAGAAGGCTGTAGCGTCCTGTGAAGCATCTTGCACCTCTTCTGTCGATTCAGTGAGAAGGCTGTAGCGTCCTGTGGATTCAATGAGAAGCGCTAACGTCCTGTGAAACATCTTGCACCCCTGCTGTCGATTCAATGAGAAGTCTCTAGCGTCCTGTGAAACATATTGTGCCTCTGCTGTCGTTTAATGAGAAGACTGTAGCGTCCTGTGAAGCATCTTGCACCTCTGCTGTCAATTCAATGAGAAGACTGTAGCGTCCTGTGAAGCATCTTGCACCTCTGCTGTCGAATCAATGAGAAGACTCTAGCATCCTGTGAAGCTTCTTGCACCTCCGATGTAGATTCAATGAGAACGCTGTAGCGTCCAGTGAAGCATTTTGCACCTCCTCTGTAGATTAAATGATAAGACTGTAGCGTCCTGTGAAGCATTTTTCACCTCTTCTGTAGATTAAATGATAAGACTGTAGCGTCCTGTGAAGCATCTTGCACCTCTGCTGTCAATTCAATGAGAAGACTGTAGCGTCCTGTGAAGCATCTTGCACCTCTGCTGTCGAATCAATGAGAAGACTCTAGCATCCTGTGAAGCTTCTTGCACCTCCGATGTAGATTCAATGAGAACGCTGTAGCGTCCAGTGAAGCATTTTGCACCTCCTCTGTAGATTAAATGATAAGACTGTAGCGTCCTGTGAAGCATTTTTCACCTCTTCTGTAGATTAAATGATAAGACTGTAGCGTCCTGTGAAGCATCTTGCACCTCTGCTGTCGAATCAATGAGAAGACTGCAGCATCCTGTGCAGCTTCTTGCACCTCCGATGTAGATTCAATGAGAAGGCTGTAGCGTCCAGTGAAGCATCTTGCACCTCCTCCGTAGATTAAATGATAAGATTGTAGCGTCCTGTGAAGCATCTTGCACCTCTGCTGTCGATTCAACGAGAAGGCTGTGGCGTC